ACTAGCACTTGTTATATGAAACGTTTTCACTACTATCAGATGACAGAAAAATGTTTCTGTCTTTAGTCTTTAGTTCTCTTGTTTTCATATTCCTGATTTTACCAGATTTTATCCCTCTTAGAAGCAGTACAATATCACCAAATCTTAAAAAACATGTACTTTATGGTACCTTAATTAGATAATATATATGGATACACATTCATAAGTCATAAGCTCTTATCCAAAATTACTTTTTTGGGATACTGGTTTAAAACCCATCATAGTTTGGGGTAATTCTTGTTCACTTGAATGCATGCATGATAAGACATTTTTGTTTCCTTTCAGACTTTAATCACTTTTGTTATTGACACACTTCAGATAAGAAAATTTAAAATGTTAAATGCCAGGCCAAATCTGTCGGGACATACAGTACAAAAATTCTCAATTGAGGACCGCATTGCATCACTAGCTTTATGACAAAGGATATTTCAAAAGACAATTTGCTAATTGTTAATAACCGTTCTAAACATGCACATATATAAATGGAGGCAAATTCTTTCTGAACAATTTAGTCACATAGACGTAATTATTCGAATCAGTACATAAGCCTTTATGAGGTCACAGGCTTCTTCCTTTAACAATAAAAAATGGTAAACACCATAAAGTGTATATATAGTGGCAATTATATTTATTAATTGCTGAACTGCACCCTCGAGCAAGCACTAGTTCCGCAAGCAATACCCACGCTAACACGATCGGAAGTTTATTACACTCACTGAGGCATGCAAAAAAGCCATATCCTAGCAAGAGCGTTCATTTTTCCATAAATTTTCAGGGATACAGTACATGCCCTCTCATCCGGTCATCCGGTTTGCATAATCCAGAATCTGTTTTCAGGTTGTTAGAATTTCACGTTTTAAAGATTTGTCTGCAAACCAGCAAGTTTAACCGTTTCGAGATTTTGCTGTTCCGCTTTTTAAGGTCTAGACATACTTTCAATGTTTATGGTTCCTCAACATTCCATTCTTTGACTGCAGATGAACTTCTATACTGTATATTAGATTTAATCTGAATAGAGGGTTTTGAGGGTTTTGTAGTTCGCAAAAGACGATGACAACCTAGCCAAATCTAAATCATACTCATTCTTGACATCAATTCTAGCTATACTACTGTATATATTATAGGCAAATCACTTTCTGCATGGGGTGCCTTGTTCCTTGTCCTGTAACCCAGCAAAACAGGTTAAGTCAAATCCCACTGTACCTTCAAACTCAATAAACATCCTCTAACACATCTAATTCCTTGGTGTTGTTATTCCTTGTAATTACTTTTCTTGAATGAAAGCATTGCAGTAAATGTGACCATGCTCTTGAAAAACATTGAAAGGCAAAGAGGAAAACACTTTATATTAGTTTAGATGGGTAGCTGCGTCAGCGTGCGTAGGCTGCAAAGGAACAAGTAATAGGTTTATTCCATGCTGAAAAAAAAGAAGAAAGAGAACACAACGTTTCGGCCGTGAAGCACACCTGAAGAAGGCTCCACGGCCGAAACGTTGTGTTCTCTTTCTTCTTTTTTTCAGCATGGAATAAACCTATTACTTGTTCCTTTGCACTTTATATTATGCTTTATACATGTTTAATGATTAGTAACAGCTAGAAAGTGCCAATAGCAGATTATGTATAGGTTATGAAACAGAATGGGATCTTTGATGCAGCTATTGCTATTGCACTTTGTAGCATCCACGTCACTGTACAATATTTTAATGACTAATCTGAAATACATAATCAACCATTTACAATATCTTCATGAACATCTATTGAGTATGAAATATAAGCAAATTAATGACCAATGATCTTTATAATAAGTGTTACTTAAATATAATTGAATATGTCCATGCATTTCAGATAGCTTTTTAATCAATGAGAACTGCGATATTGCCACTGATGAGAAGCATTTAAAAAATGCCTACTGGTACTGGGGTGCTTTAGGTTGTAATCCACAATCATCTTGGCCATTAATCTCTCAAACAATAAACAGATTTATTTTAAAGCCAGGCTGACATTAAATGAATGCCTGTTTCTTAGGACTTTTACCAGTTGGGAACTCATGTCCTCACCTGCAATTTCATGCATTCATAAGTATTGGAACTCAAGTATGGAATGTATTTATCTGTGTATAAAGCAATGGGAGGAAACAAAGTTGTTCAGGTTGTGGTTTTCATCACATGCGTCCTTTCCATTCACGGGCTTCAATGCGTACCCTCTTAAAGCATACACCCACATGAAACAAAAATAAACAGTTACAAGAAAATAGACTGCAGTGACGCAGGACAGCCCCCTTAGATTTCATAAAGCTGGAATCACAGTAGCTGTCACAGGAGTGAGTTGCGTCCATTTGTGTATTGACTGATGAAAAGCTGTTCTTTCCCAGCTATTTGCGGATTCCTGTTGGTAAACATCAAGCCTGCATGTATGTTTGAAATTGTTTATCGCGTATAAAAAACATTATACAATTACCGGATTTCGCTTGTCTAATTCTAGAAACATTGCTCCACTCTCTCCTAAGAGCCCACTTTGTCTGGCATTCTCATTCAGTGAGTCACACAAATACATAATTAGGTGTATACTGTTTATTGGTACACTACCCTGATTGATTTTCTTCATGGCTATAAAAATCCTGGTGTATAATCAGAGAAAGAGAAAGGTAAAAAAAAAGCGTCATTTGAAATGAGTCAAATGAGCAGTCATACTGCTCAATATAATCATACTGTAAACTATCCAAGCTTCAATACATTTCTTAGAAAAGACATTATGATCGAAAAGCCTGGAAAAATGAAAATTAGGCCTGTATTCAGTAAAGAAATATTTATTTCAAAGTTTGTTAGTAATGTACTGTAGTGTACACGTTGACCCAGTCCTCAGTGTTGGCAGGTGTAAATGTTGATTGGATTAGGTTTTGTTGTATGAAAATGGACAGTTCCACAGCACATGTACAAAGAATTTATATTTTTATACCCTCCTGAAGGTGTTTCGAAGGTTAAAATAAATCTTTAAACAGACTTACTGTAATTTCTATGGTGATGGCAACACAAGAAATTTATATGGTTTTGCCATACAGCTAAAAAATGCAAATAATTTTATGAATTTGACCATGTAAGTTCTTCAACATCAGGTAACACTGGACTTTAGAAAAGTTTTGGAATAACTATAATTTTCAAGGCTAGATAACACCTAACCTTTAAAAAACTAGATACAGAACCTACTTTAAATAATGTCATTCTTAAAAATGTTATGTGTGAGGTTAGGGAAGACTTTTTTTAAACAATAAAACATCACTGATTTACAATTATTTAACATTATTCAATAATATATAAATGGAAAACAGAAAAAGTTGAATTACTACATGATCACTTAAAGGGACAGCTCTTGAAAATATTAGAATACATTTATCTGTGAAAGTTCGTATTAACCTAACATAAATTACCTTATATGTATAAAGTATACTGTATATCTAACAGGCCTGCTCTATACAGAAAGCTGGTGAGGCCCAAACACAAGGATCTTTATTAAGCCAAATCTCAGTTCTACCCAAAACAAAGGCTTGCTACAAAACAACCGAACACCAGCTACTACAGTGAGTCCTTTCGTATACTGTACCAAACAAAATGGGGCTCTTAGCCCTCCAGCTAACTAACTAAACTAACATCATACTGTACCTCGTGTGAACCTGTTTTATCTGGTTCAAACAATAGAGGCTTCAACGGCCTCTAGTGGAAGGTCAGCTGAAACTGTTAACTCTCTACAGCTAGCCAGCCACAATATGGTTTCTGAACATTCTGAATTCATTTTTGAAAAATCTTCATTATAAGAGTGGAATACTGAAAAAAATAAATTACATTTCAGCTTCACCTTTTCTGAAGTGAAGTTTCAGAAGCTGGAATATTCAACACAAAATTATCTGTACAAACTGAGGCAAATGTTATTATTTCTTTGAATGGAAACCTATCTGGTTGGTTAGCTATGATAATGTATATGCTATTATTGTTGTTTGACAATACTTTCACAGCACAGATCTGCAACATTAACAATGCATGAAAAGTGTATTCTAAAAGCCTAAACTTATTAGGTTGTTTATGAATTTAAAAATCAATGACAATAGGAACCTACTGTAAGTTGTACTAAATGAAATGTTTGAATAATGTCAACATTTTGTAGATCTGTATGATTTTGTTGTTCCTATTTATAACTAATAGAGAGACATAAAGACAACATATATAAAATAAATTTACACAGTACACAAATAAAACAGATAAAGGTTTATTCCATGCTCAAAAGAGACACAATGTTTCAGCTGTGAAATCGTCTGCCAAAACGTTGTTTCCTTTCAACATGGAATAAAACTTTACCTGTTCCTTTGCAGCCTATGCATGCTAATGCAGCTACTGTACCTATTTGAACTTCTTCAACCCTATCTATACAAATACATAATTCAATAACAAACCTAATGTTTTATTTTTTTTCTGGAACAAAATGCTGTTATTTTTAACATAAACATTTAATGTTGTATCTGAGCAAGTTTCTAGATTTATACTCTTCTAAAGTTATACATATGTATATTCAGAACTTTGCATATGTTGGAACATTCTCTAAAATAAAACTGTATTGTTACTTTTATACAGTGTTTGAAATTAGCAAAATGTTCTTCAAAAAGATTCACAATACTGCTAATAGTACCCCATAAACTTTGGTTAACAACAATACTTCACTTATTTTCTTTGAAAAAATGTACAGATATAAAGCTGTATGAAAAAACGCAAACCTATGCCACACTGAAACATGTATTAGAGTTTTATGAATGAAAATGAGTTTCAGTACCATAACTCTGTGGTGATTAACATTAGTATGTGTGTCCTAACCATTGAAATTCCGCTTTAGGCTATAACTTTCTGATGAAGGCGTGACATCATTCCTCTGATTGGTTGCTTCTCAGATAAAACAGTCATAAGGCACAGAGCCGTAGAGCACAGGGACAGAGAAATCCTACCATCTGACTGAAAACTTCTTTGAGAAGGAAACTCCGTCTGAAACATGAACAAGCTATTTTGTATTATTTCAGGAGTTTTAGGTAAGTTTTTTGAATGGCTACTTTTTGTTGTTTTTTATTTCTACTTTTAAAAGATCGAGAAAACAAATAACTGTAAAACGAGAAATGTTGTGCACTGCTTTTTTGGTAAAAACCTGTCAAGACAGGGATACCTCTGAATATGTTATGAATTGAATCAATCTTTGTTTCTGTTTGAGGAAGTTACTGTCTTTTGTGTGCTGTTTTAACCAGAGTAGACATACACTTTCATTATTACTGTACAAAGAGAGGCTGTTCTAGATATTAAGCAAACTTTATATATATATATTGCAGTACAATAGTAGAATAGGAGAGTTATTTTACAATAAACTGCATTACATTTGATAGTTTTGTTGGAAATACATTTTTATTATAAAGGGCTGCTATGTGAGATTTTCTTTTACAATGTACTGCAGTGTGTTACAACATTTCATTCTGACATGCAAGGACACATCAGGTACTTAAGACACATAATTTGTTCAGAAAATAATTCAAAGTCCCAAAGACATACTGATCAGCACCATTACAAAAAAATGCTAAAATACTGTACTACAGTATGATTAAAAATGTTACTATTGGTTGCCTTTCATTTTGACACATTTTGAATTTTACCATTAAAGTTGTGAAATGTGGTCTATTAAACATTCAAAGTTTGTTGTGGATTTTTAATAGAGTATTTTAAATTTTATCATGTTTTTACATGATAGTAGTTCCAGTTCTACTGTAATGCATTGAAGTTCTAATAAAATGAATACTCAGTTGTGTTCTATTTTTCTCCACAGTATGTGGTTTAATAGGCATTCCAGGATCTCATCAGGATGAAGTACACAGTAAAGGAATCTTAGCTCCTACTGTAGCTTATGACCATAGTGGTGCAACAAATAATGTCTCTTCGGGAGATGGCCTTGAGAACTCCAATGAAGATTATGAGGATAATGAAAATGAAGGTGACTTGTCACCAACAGAGGGATCACATGTAGATCCAGAACTAATAAGAGGTAAAGAACAGTTTTTTGTTTCTATAAACATGTCCTCCATTGAAACATGCTGGTCATACTTTCTACTTTCTTGCACAGCTCTAGAAAGATAGCTTTTTAATCAACGATGTGGCATTTTGAGATAAGCTGCTGTTGATTCGTAAGTATGTTTAGTAACTCAGAAAATAAGATTTATTAACAGGCCGACACTAATTCTTATTGTATTATAATTATTTTTCATAACAGATTTTCATTCTATGAAAATCTATTTCTCATAGATTTTAACTCCAAGCTATAGATGTAAAAAGTTTTCTGACCCATTTTCCCAAATTTCTGTTCTTTTGGGCTTGTACGTACAGTAGACCTTCTTTTTAAAGTTACATGGCACATTTCAACGAAGCCACATTTCTGACAGGTGCTGACCTTTTCATCTTGTGTTGCTTTTCCAGTTCAGCCTGTTGCCCGGCCCGAGGACAAGGGAAAGAGCAAGAAAAAGGGAAAAGGAAAACGAAAGAGCAAATCTAAGGGAGAAAAGAGTGGCAAGAGTGTGAAAGGAAAGGAAGAGAAGGAAGTGACACCAGACCCTTGCATCACCACACATGCGGATTACTGCATTCATGGGCAATGTATTTATAATCAGGAGCTGGATGAACCTACTTGCATGTGAGTGCAGCAAAATTCTTCTCTCACTGCTTGTCACCGATGTCACAAAGTCCAGGTCATAATATTTTCATTTAAACAAGTCAGCCTTGGGGAAGAATGTGAAAGAGTTTTGTATTTGTAGAATTATTTTCAATTGTCATTTGTAACATTTTTGTGAAGAAAAAAATCAACATGGGTCAAAGGAGATATGTTTTATTTTTTTACCAAAAAAACATTTTATTACTCAGTTCAAACTTAAAAGTTATTTTATTGATTTGAAATTGTTGGGATTGATAGATATACAGTATACAGTAGTTGGCCATCTTGTTCTGCTGTTATATGTGGAGTTCAAAATTCATATTTCACATCAAACTTAGACATTTTTAGTTTCTTTATTTTCTTTTTTGTACTTCAGCAGAAACTTATTATTTTGAAATCATGTTATCATACCAAATTGTCTAGTTATACCTTTTATATCTATGGAGACCCATTTTAACCATCATTTTCAGAGATAAGTTTCAACAAAACAATTTCAAGAATTCACAGATTGTTCCTGGATTATATACTGTTGGGTCATATGTGGCCTTGAATAATATTACTCAATTTACTGCCACAAATATTGTCTCTATTAGTGGTTAACAACAGCAGAACTTACTCAACCATGGCTAAATCTTACTCAGTTCATACCTGTAGTGAATAAAGACCCACCCACACGAAAAGATTAAACTTATGTTGACTAACTTGAAAGAGGTCTAAAGTTAAACAGATTTCACGTGGTTATTCATTGAATACTCAGTTCATTCACCTTTTCTCAGGAATTCATCGCATTGTTTAATACTGTATATATACATTACAGTGCAGATCTTTTGTCAGTCTTGAAAACCGTTGTATGAACAGGGAAACTTAAGTAAATACTGACGCACAAAAATTTGAGAGCAGTAACGTTAACCTTAACAGAATACAGCAACATGCTGTAAAGACCTATTTTCAGATTTGTTGGATTTTGCCTTTTGCCTCTTGAAGCTCTTGCACTGTAACAGCGGCAGTGTTGTGTGGTCATTTAGAAACGTGTATCACAATGTCACATTGTAAAACAGGGCTTGACAGTCCTGGTCCTGAGGGATCACTGAGTATGCTGGGTTTCTAGGCCTCTTCAAGGCATCAGTACCAGAAAAGCTGGGACAAGATGTTGAATTTCTCCTATTAAGACAATAAGGAGCTTATTCAGGCTGAAAAGAGATTGGGATGAAAACCAACACAGACAGAACTCCAAGACCAGGACTGCCTATCCCTGTTCTAAACCAAAGTGTCTCAAACTCATTTCCTGGAGGTCCTCAGGACTTCTGATCAAAGCAGTTACACCATTAAAGGTACAGTTAGCTATAGTACACCTCAGACACAAACCAGAAGACACCAGGCCTTCCAGGAAATTTGAGTAAGACACCCACTAGAAACAAAACTCAGAGATTCAGTTCCCAAAAGTATCATAAGACCTGAGGTTTAATCACATTTGATTCATGTACCTACCACTTCCATAAAGAACGATAAAAAGAAACGTGAAAGGTAACTTAATTATCCTGAATTAGCTTAATTAATCACACAAAAGTCAATCTTTTCTTTAGAGTTCAACAATCAAATGACAAAGATATTTGTATAGTACTGTTCGATTGGCATGGATATATGTTTATCAAAATGTGTCTTTTCTTTATTCCAGATGTTTAAAGGGATATGATGGAGAAAGATGTGGAATCCAGTTGTTGAAAACTGGACAGAAAGAAAAAGACTGGATCAATACAGACGTCATTCAGACTGTCCTAGTAATAATAGCAGTCGCACTCTCTGTGATCAGCTTAATAGCCATCCTTCTAATTATTTGTGGCCCGTAAGTATAGTAAATTTTAATATAGTAAATCCCCACTCGACGTCACAACTTCATGTGACAAACACTATATAGCTAATTCTGTCTGGAAAACTTCAGTGTCTTTAGTTTTCTAAAGACCTAGTCTGGAAAATGTAAAGCTTGTTAAATTATATTAAATGTTGTGGCTGTTTGGTTTTAACTGATGTACAGAAATACAGTTCCATGTCCTGCAAAAGCTGGTTCTGGCAAGTTTCAGCTCAATCCTTTGGAATCTATACATTCCATTAAGGATTTTACAAACTTAAATTAAAAAAGTACTTATATTTGCGATATGATATAATCATTAAGGTCACACCAGAAGATATGCTAGGTATTTTACAGTTCCAGTTTCTCTTTCCCCCCTCATATACTACTTAAACCATGAGTAAAAACATTTTTAAAACTAAACAAAGGGCCGCTCTGACTTCAATACTAATTACAGTACAAACCATCATACTATAGTTTTCTTTTGCAGTAAAGGAACCTAAACGTGACTTAATTTTTTCTGAAAGCTAGCATTTTTATTAATAATTCTGAAGACTAACATGTAACAACATTGTATAATGTCAGGAGAAGAGAATTCTTCTCCTTAAAGCTCTTATGGGTTTTCTCATTAACTGTCCATAGCTGTAAGCTTCCTTTAACTAATGTTCCACTTTTTCTTCTCAGTTACAGAAATCACAGAAAGCCCTTCATAGCAAAGTGCCTTGGAGAAAGCAGTGAAAAAGAGAAACTTCGACAAGAAAATGGTGATGTTGCAGTGTAGACAACAGCAGGTAATGTTCTTGTTGTAATGAAACCTAGCTGCTTTTTACTGCAATTTGTATCAATTTGTACACTGTTTTAAATGGATAAATATGGCATTTATCCAAGTAAAAACTGAATTGTCAATTCAATATATCAAGTGACGGTCTAAGAACTGAGAGAAAATATTCATGATTGAAACATCAATTTTTATAGGTGACTTTTATCGGTGACTGTAAGTCATAAAAGTACCACAAACCAAGATAAAAATACATTAATACTTACCTGTAAGTTGTCCTGAAAATAAAGTACATACAATTGATTTGAACAAAAGCCTTAGTAACATATAAAATTAGCTCTCATTTGGTAGCTTTCTTACAGTGTGTCCTTATGTTACTTTTTTCTTGCAGAAAGAAGAACAAATATTGAGTGCCTTGGAACCAAGCACAGATCTAAGAACGTGAAAAAATATGAAACTTAATAGGGAGCTATATATTTTCAGTAGTTCAGTCATATTCTAATAACAAGCCAACAAATATAAAGGAACATCATACTTAAAACGTGGGTGTTAACTCACCTGGCTGAGAAAATAACTGCAGTGGCTGAACATCAGTGTCGTCACACTCCCTTTCATTAGGAATGAACAAGGGAGGCAGCTGCAAAGGTGAAGCTGGGCAGGAGGGAGGGGTGCAGAAAAGATATATGCAGAGTTGATGGCAGCCAGCGAGTATTTATATGTAGTGGAAGCAAATTAATTTGACTTCCTCCTGAAATTCAGTTAAATAATACAATCTGCAGAAACCCACAATGTGTGACAAGTATATTTATTATTGTATTTATTATTTAAATTTGTACATAATGTTTTTTTTTAGTTTACACTGGACCTAAGTGTTACTTTTTGTACATCAAAAACCAAAAAAATAATTTATCTTTTTTTATTTATTTATTTGTGTGTTTATTTATTTGAAAAAATGTTACTTTCAGCCCAACTGTTTAAATAAAATCAGTTACACTTATTCAAATATCGTTGTATTTTCATTTCTCTGGATTTGTACTTAAAGATTACAAAAATGTTTTTTTCAATCATAAGAAGGAACCTGCTATTAATTTATGATATTTCATGAATTAATATTTAAAAATCAGGGGTTTTAAAACATTTGAAACTGGAAAAATATATTGCAGAAATTAGTACAATATTTAAAAGATTTAAATAGAGAACAAAAGAGGTAGAGGTGTTATATATATTAAAAACAGTTTCTGAACCTTTTAACTATTTTTTTCTGTCACATCAGCAGTTAATCTGTTGCAAACGTGTAGGCTTGCAGTAACCTGCCTCCCTTTAGAAAGCCAGTGTACTCAATTATAGTTTCACAACAATCAAAAGTGTGTTCATGCCTCACACAGAATAACTACTTTAAGTGACAAATTCAATAAAACAAGTGACTTTTTCAAGCAAATCTTAATGTTGTGCAATGCCATATTGTTTAATTGAGAACCTGCTGTGCTTTAATTCAATTAAACAATTCTATTTTTTTTGCTCTGGAAATATATGGATGTCTATCTATAGCAAAACAGAGGCAATCCTCTGTTTGGCATGTGCATAAATTTGCCAGTGGTTCAGTGCATTCCAGGAAGGATAAAGGCATGAGCTGGAAGTAACAAGACATGTCTGTAATTCCACAAGTATTTCTGTGCTTACAGAATATGTAAATGGATACAATCTCCATCTTGCAGTTCTTTTTTCATGTGCTTATATTACTGCTGTTGTTCCAGCACTTAACACACTATAATAAGTGTGTATAATAAGTATTAATACACTATAAAAATACAAAAATAATTGTAGCAACTTTGCTGAAAGTTTCAGAAGTTTATGTGATGAAAGATAATTTTTCATCAGTTAATCAGCATTAACTATTCCAAAGGAACAAGTAATAGGTTTATTCCATGCTGAAAAAAAGCAGAAAGAAAACTCAACGTTTTGGCCGTGGAGCCTTCTTCAGGTGTCCGGAATTTACTATTCCATATTTATTGTGGACAACTGGGCTAATTAGGGAAACTGTAAACAACATCAAATACTAAACTTATTTTTTCAGCTATAACAAAAAAATAAATAAAACAGCCAGAGCTAAACAGTAAAGCTGATTTAACTTCCAAGATAGCCTAGTGATTATGTCAATCTCAATCTGTAGAAATTCTTAGACCTAGAAAACATCTGATGCTATTTTATTTCATGCAAGTCTGTCTGAAGTATATCATTACTTTTTCATTTTCAATCTTTTTTCATCCAGCATTTGTGTACTTGTTATTTTCTGAGCATCAAAGGTAGGTTTTGTAAGTTTTATATACAAATATTCTATCCAAGAACTTTACTCCATCACCTGTCTAACCAAACACATTTCATGCCTCATTTCCTCATTGTATAGCTGGACAACAAAGGGCTCCACATTGTTGTGGAATAAAAGTAGTGCATAAAATCTGAAAATACATCTACTGCTGTTTTTATTTTGTTCTTGACTTACAAATGTAATTTCAAAACAGTGCAATTGTAATTTCAAGTGGGGCAAGTACAGTTATAAACCTTCACAAAATTAATGTATGTTAACATTTCAAATGGTTTGGATATATGTTTTCAGAGATGTTTGTCAAGTTTGATTTTGTTTTTGTTCACCCAGAAAGGGGATCAGCAAGTTTGTTTTGGATAAACATGGAATGGGAATTAATGAAACAAATGAATGAAAACAGATAAGCCGTAGTTATCTATGATAAGTAACAGATAAGTAATGAGCAGAAGAAAATTAATTAATATTTTACCCCATTTAAAAACTGCAATTTTTTTAAATTAATACTTGTATATTAAAACAGTTAAGTACTACTACTTGTAAATTAACCCTTTGAACACAATAACAGCCCAATAAATTGCTAACTGTCTGAAAACACATAATTAGTGTTACAGGACATGAACTTTGAGATGGATAACATACGGTTTTCCCTGACATAACTTTAGTCTGATATATGTGCATTGTGTAGAGACCTCTTGGCCCTTCATTTGCAGTTTCACTGCTTCCTTTGTCATTCCTGATCTTGCTCATAAGTTGCTGTTTTTACCTACATCTGGTTACACCTAGAAACAACGCCCTCATTATCACAGGTCTGACTTCGCCTTGAGCTTGGGTGAAAGCTTTTGGTGATTGCTCATAGTTCCCTTCTTGAGCAAATGCAGGCTTTAAGTTAATGTTTTACTGCTTAGGAATAAGTTATTTGTTCCGTGTTTTTAATCTAAGTATCTTGATGACTACAGGGTAATTTAGGACAGATTTACACAGCAGTAAGATGAAATATTGAGAACTAATAGAGGGAAATACATACACAATAATACAAACGGGGAAAAAAGGATTATTTGAATGTTGATTAAGTTGATTATGATGATTTGAATGACTACTACTCCTGCTTTCAGAAGACGTCATACAGAAAATTTTGTATTTTCATGAAGATGTGGGAGAAATCTGCAATGCCTGGCAAAATGAATGCCTTTACATAACTCAGTTGCAATTCTGCTTCGAAATCACACTACATATCCATGTTTGCCAGATCCTGACTAATGAACACTTTCTTTGTATTATCAAATGCATTTTCAGGTTCTCTTGTTAATGTTAAAATGCTTTAAAAACCGATGAGTGAAATTCATAATCTTTAAAGGCAGAAGAGAAACTACCAATGTTTACTTTTTGACAGAGGTCTCTTATACATACTGTCAATATCCCTTTATCCCTGTTTTATTATTTTTCAAATGTTTGACGAAATGAAGAGTGTTCATTAGGATAGTGAAAAGCATCAGGCTTTGTTTATGGGCTCCAAAAATGTCAATAATAAAGATGAAGCACATTGTAATAGGCTATGCTTTTAACAGCAAATACAGTTTTTGTCAATAACACCTTGACTAACACGTAAGTCATCACACTATTGGTATGTAAAATATAACAAAATCTGCACGGCATCCCTACAAATTCTCCAATTAAAATATTCTGAAAAAAATCAAGCTACCTTCCCGCTTCCAATACTAATTATGAAACAAAATATTATAATGAGCCCCGTAGTCAAGGCTTTAGCTAAAAGACCTCGTGAAAGACTAATTGACTAAGGAATATAACAATGTACAATAAATAGAGGATACTGTTGAGGGCTCCTGATACAGGCTGGAGTAGAGTTCTTAGTGAAACACTAAAGGGATCAGTATAAACTGTGGCTCTCCCTAATTTATAGATTTAATCTAAACTGTAGTTTAGTTGTCAAATTTGTTGATTAAATGAAAGTAGGTGGAGCTGCAAATAATGCTTAAGCAGTGCCAGCAACAATAAGAAACCATTTGGCTGTGGATACTTTTAATGGTCGGTGAGAGCAAAATATTGCACTCATCTCCAGAAATACATTTTAAATATTCAATGGGAGGGACTGACTTAGAAAAAGAAATGGCTTTGAAAGACCAAAGTGTTTATATTGTCCAATCAGATTCCTCACCTAGACAATGTGAGGAAGTAATTCAAAGGCAGATAAAATGCTTGATAAATAGTTATTAGTGTTAAATTAATATAAACTAGAGAAATAAAAAAAATGTTAGGGCAGAATGGTGATGTGAGCACTCCTTGTCCTGGGTTTAGTTCAGGACTGGAGCTCCCTGTGTATGAGATTTAATATTCTAACACTTCTCACGTCACGCAGAGCTGTATCATATCTTCCCCATTAGTTTCTTTCTAGGTGTTCCAGTTTCACTGATTTAGGTCATGTGGAGAATGCCAATTCTAATATCCTAGGTCACAGAAGTTATTATGGATTCAGATTCTATCGACTATTTTGCCATTTCTGTGATTTGCCAGGGCACCACATTGTTTTCTGCTGTGGTTTAGTTTTCGTTTTCTGAAGTTATTATTGTGTATAGATGAATTATAGTATTTACTTATTTACTTCAATATGCTTACTGAGGATAAAAATACAGAATTATGAAGAGCCTTATACACAGGTGAAATATAGCCAGTAT